GACGCTGCCGCCGCCCCTCCTGCTCTAGATGTAGCCCTCCACATGTGCAATATCTGTGGACGACACTGCCGGTCCAGTATCGGCCTCTCTAATTACCTCAGAGCTCACCAACGAAGGTGACATCCTTAATAACTCATATCATTTTCTCATAGCAAAGTAGTGTGTGTGTGAATTAATTTTTAAAATTTGGTGCTCCATTCTTATGGTGTCAATTTTTCTCTTAGACGTGTCACCCAAGATATACAGTACGGGTGCCAATAATGACCATTTTGAACATAAATGGACCGGGAGGCGCCTCGCGTAAATGCGCTACTGCACACTAGGGATTATCAAGTAAAATCGGCTATCATGCTTTGAAAAGCAACGAACATTATAGTTGTATTATTAACTTAATGGAAATTAAATTAGTTCACAGTCGGTATATTTGCTGTTTCTTTCAAGACGTCGATTTTAACGATCTATACCTCAATTAGATTAAATAAGGGCAACTTATTGATCCTATTCATTTTAGTGTGTATTTTGATTAATTATCTACATAATCGTTCCTATATACAGACCAGTATAAATTTTCCATAAATACAATATATATAAAGTATCAGATTTTACAGTTTTCAGACTGCACCAACACCAACAACACAGTATCGTTCAGATACACCGAGAGTTTTACCTCATAATTTTAATGTTGTCAGAATAGTGTAATTACTAACCTTGTTACGCGCTTAGAAGCCTTGGTTGTTAAAGCGCAGTAATAACATATATAACAACAACATTTTGATTGTCATGCTGTTGTTGTCAAGTATAAAACCAACATAATATGTACTGGAAGACCTTAAGTTGGTGAAGCACATAATTACATTAAAACAACGACAACAATAAAGACAATAGCTGCTAACAAGATAAGAACAACAGAATCGAATGTAATCAGTTATTGCAAGTACAGCAAGAAGAGTACAAGCACCAAGATAACAAAAAAAAATGATTTGGTAAACAAACTAGTTTGAACAGTCCATACCTGTGGTAAAGATGGACGAGGGATTTTCAGCGTGATGTTACCTTGATGTTTATGATTTGTTTGCTTTTATTTATTTTTGTCTACTGATTTGAAATTACTAGATTGTTATTTCTATGGGCTTTTGGTACCGGTGCCTTTGTTGCTGCTGTTGTTGCTATTGTTGTTGTATTTTCCTGATCGACAACACCCTTTATCCTTCTTCTTGGTTTGTTGTTGATGTTTTATTACCAATGTATGGTTGTTCTTGGTTCTGTTGATTTCATTCTTTTATTTTGTTTTGGTATTGCTATTGATGTTATTGGTTTTGTTGGTGTTATTGTTGTTGTGTTTTTTGCCGATCTTATTATTATTATTAATTGTTGTGAAGGTATTTTGAAGCCGTTATACATCATACGTGTTTACACTACCCGGATTTAACAACACACACAACTTGGCCAATTAAAAGAAATGACATAGACAGGAAGGTTAAAATGGTGTTGAAATTTCAACTGGGACACAAACTAAGGCATTCTAACCATTCACACCAACCTGGGGGTGAAAATGGCCTGTGTGATTAGAGTTGAGATTTCATTGCAGCTAGATGCATTCTGTGATTTCAGGAGTCAACAATCAACGAACGAAGTTTAGAAAATCCGGGCCGCGACCTACATGAAGAGCTCCTGCAAGCTCGTGACCGCGGGAGAACCGCAAGTCACGGCCATCAACAGTTACTCTCCACCACCCTTCAACACCCGTCATCTCGTGGGAAATTTACCGTGTAGGTGACGAGTATCCCAAAACCGTACTAAGCGGGTTAACGGAGAAAACATGAGCGAGATGATGGCGTTTGTTATTCTCTGGTACACGGGTTTGAGGTGGATGACCTTTGTTACCCAGTACATAGGATTGTTTTTTTTTTCTTCTGATGGATGGATTCACGGAAGGATTACTTGTCCTGTTATAAGTGGGTTCGAGATGGAACTAGCTTTCAGGTAGTGTCCACTGGTTGAAGAGAATGATGAAAGAAGATGGGATAATAAGAAAATAAATACAAGTAAACAAATTATTGTCTATCGTCATTAAAATGTCTTTCTACTCTCTAAGCAACATCACTCGTAATTACAGCCAATATCTCTTAAACTTCCTTAAGCGTAACACCTTTCAAGTTTGACTGCAAGATATTTCAATCATCTCACCTGAAATTTTCTAGTTTTTCTTTTCTGTTACAGATGCCTCTGACTCCCGATCTACAGTATGGCCCATTAAGATAACACGAGAATACTTTCCCTTGCAAATACGTAATAACCGGGAAGGTGTCGCTTGCAAACAGTTGGTCACCGCTTGTAATCGCGTTAAGGCATTAAATGAGAAACATTATATGGAAAACACTCTAGAAAATATTGAAAAATGATGTTGCCATCAGCCAAGATTTCCAAAGATATGTGCAGGTAATAAAACACCTTTACCTCTTAACTGCAGGTAAGAGCACACCTTTAACTGCAGGTAAGAGCACACCCTTAACTGCAGGTAAGAGCACACCTTTAACTGCAGGTAAGAGCTCACCTTTAACTGCAGATAAGAGAGCGACTGTGCCTCTAACTACAAGTAGGAAAACGATTGTAAGTAAGAAAACGCCCTTACCTCTAACTGCAGGCAAGAGAAGGTACTTTCCTATAACAGAAGGCAAAAGAACGCATTTTATTGTTAACTATAAGTAAAACAACATTATTTTCCTTACGCAGAGGTAAAGGAAGATATTGTTAACTGAAGAAATAACATGGCATTATTTGTTTAAATTCAGGTAAAATAACGCTTTTTCTTACTTGGAGATAAGAGAAAGCATTTCCTCTAAACATAGGGAAGAGAATATATTCTTACCTTAACTATAAAGGCAAGAGAACACATATTCTCTTTACGCATTTTCTCTTTATCTTGAAGTAAGAGAACGTCCTTAGTGCAATTTCAATGTCCTCTCCCTATCTTCTCTGTATCATCGCTGAAGTGAGTCATTAAGATGCGTTCCATAACCTGCAGTTAAATTCGTTATATTTTCCTCCAGTTAGATGTGTTCTTATAAAACCAGTTAGATGCGCTCTCACAATTCCAGCTAGTTGCGTTCTCATACTTCTAGTTAGTTGTGTTATCACACCACCAGTTAGATACGTTCCTACGTCTCCACTTAAATACATACTCACGTCTCCAGTTAGAAGCGTTCACACGCCACCACTAAAAGAAATAATGTACCAACTTTTGAGAATCGGAACCACGAGTCGTGGATGGGTGGTTTTTGTTGTGGAAAACGCTGACAATAATTGTGCGATGGCTCAGTGAACTGGTAAATGGGTGTCTGATGAACCCACCAAAGTTGTCACTGCGCTTAAACTTTGGATACATTGCTCTCACAAGTGGCATTGGGGACTATTTCATGTTTTTTCCGTCCTTATTTTTAATCCTACTTATAAGAATTATGATAATACTGTAATAATAATGAAAACAATATTAACAACAAATATGATTGTAATACTATTAATGAAAATAATGTCAATAGGGGGTAACACTTATCAGAATAACGTTAATAATAACAAGATTTATATAATTAATAATAAAAATAAATGTAGGTTTACTAATAATAATATCAATAGTAATAGTTCTCATCTTGGAGTAATAAACACGCCTTTCTTGTTTACAAAATGTTCTTCGCAAATTTTAACGTCGATTTTCTTCTGAATGAAAATTTTCTGGATATGCAAGACGTATAGCAAATAGCGATATTCTGAATGTTGATTGGCTGGACCAAATTACGTGCACAAAATTATATTATACTGCATATGGTAAGTCCAGGTTTCCTGACCACTGATTGGTTGGAACAAATTTCGTGAACAGACAAAGTACAGGGTCAACGAAGATTCATAATTTTTCCCCGTAGTCATGGAATGTAAACACAATGAAATAATTGTAGCATTATAACATTGGTGTAATCCTTATAAATATGTCTTTATGGACTAAGTTCTTGAACTTGTATCTTTACTTTAACCGTTGCTTTTAGATATACAGGTATATATCTCTAATCGCTACAGTTTTAAATTAGTGCGGTCAGTGTAGTCTTAACTCCATTCACCACACCCGAATTGGCCGAGATGTCACAAAATAACCGAGACTTTGATGTAGAGCCCTAGCTGTTTTCCTACTGCAGTGTTATGGAATATGACAACCTGATTCTCAACACGTTAATTTTCCTCCCGTGAAAATACTTCTGGTTGCCTTATCAGAAGATCAAACGTTTTGGGGTTATATGTGTAGTGTAAAATTTAATATTGTGTTTCTAGGACAACAACAAAATTTGCCATGGTAATTGTGAACTCTGATGGTGATACTTAAATACTGTATTGTTTGCATTTTAATTTTCATAACAGTTCTACTTATTTCAAACAAAAAGTTTTACATATATTTATAACCTGTGTCAGCTATACAGTACTTAATACTAATTACTATATATAGAGCTGAGTATTTACACCTAAAATTGTGTAGACTTGAACCACGTCACCATCATGCAAAAAAAAGGGATTACTAAGTTTTTATCGTAACGTAATCAAACCAGTTAGTCCCACGAGCGGAGACCAATGGATGGAGACATGACTGCATTCTGAGCCAGCAACGGGGGATGATCCCACAAAACTGCTTCCCACAATTCCCTTTAATTTGGGGACTGGTTAGCCCCGCCTACTTACTCATTCTACCCTTGAGCTCCTACACTCTAGCGAGCGCACACACATACACACATACTGACGGGGGATGGCCACAGTCTAGTTGTAGTAGTCAGTGTGTGGGTGAGGTGAGCTCCTCTGTGCTCTTGTGTTGTCTGGAACCCACGGAGTTTATTTCTGGTACCGACGTGCCTTATTAGAGCTCCTTATACCACACATCGGTTATTTTTGCCAAACGGCATCTAAACGCCCGTGGACAAGAGGAAACCAAGACTTTTTGCAGGTAACTGTTTTTCAGAGTTACCATAACTGTAAGGGATTGCTTGTGACCATTTCTGTTTCCCAGCGACATCAGACAACTTTTGATATGACCCTTAATGATTGTTGCCTCAGCATCCTATGAACAGTGTCCTTCACACATACATTTTTTCGCATCCTCGGCTTCATCAGGACATCCAGCTGTTATTACAGTGGAACAATAATCGAGATTATCTTGAAAAACTTGAGAAAGCAGTCGAGTGCCTGGAGGAGAGTGGACGGTACCGGAGAACAGTGGAAGAAGACAGAGAAAGCTCAAGTAGAAACCCACACAGGTAAACATCTTAACAATTACACAGTAAGGTGAAAAGAGTTTAAATCATACCAACTGATACATAATATTTTCTTGATTACTAATGGATTGGACAAGACTGTGTGTGTGTGTGTGTGTTTGTTCCCTGTGTCCGTAAGTTTATGTGAGGATGTAAGCCTCTGTCCTCGAGGACATTCACAAGGAAAATCATACTGGAAAAATAACTTATATTCTCTATCCTTCCGGCTCTCTCTCACTTCTCTTTGTCTCCTTGTCTCTGTTTGTTTCAGTCTGTGTCTGCCTCACTCTGTTTCTCTATTTTTTTTTCTATATGAGAGTAATACAAAAGCTACTACTCATGATAGCTGGGCACCAGGAATATGAAAAAGAAAACACAAAGCGTAGAAATTGGTGAATTAAGGATGGAAAATATAGAGACAAGATATTCAATGATGACTTGAAGAAAAGTTGAGTTAGATATACTACTAACAGAGAAAGGCATGATTATCTCCAAAGTGTACGATGAGGTAACCCCCAGAGCACAATATCGTCGTACTCACGTGAACAGGACATAGTTTTCACTAGGTTAAAACGTTGTGCACAAGAAGTTAAGTTGTCGTACAATCATTGTTTTCTTTCCAAGGCGAAAGTTGTACTAAAGAGAATCGGAACTATATTCGTATTTATAATCTCCTTTTCTATAGACTAAAGTTGTATTGAATCTGAAGTTATGTATAACCCACATGAGCTGTATTACATTGAATGAAAATTGAGTTTCCATTTGTTATGAGCACACTCACACGTTTGCAGTCTCACTCACATGCCATTACTCAAATTCATGTTGAATGCTTCGGCATGTTTAATGAGACTAGATTCTATGATCCCAAGCCCACCCATGACCATTAGAATCTTAGTATTACCATTTCACAAAAATTTCTCTCAAATTCCTTTACAACTAAAAACCTGGAACGTCAATGTGACATTTAAAAACTCATGCACTGTTAAACAAATGTTAATCAAAAACTCTCCCAACAACACAATTGGTTTCATTTATAAAGTTCCTTGCAAGGAATGTAATATGTTTTACTTCGGCCAAACAGGTAAAGATCTTGTAACTAGACTTAAACAACATAAATATAGTGTTAGGACAGGCCAGGAATCCAATGCTCTGTTTGTTCATTTGAGGGATAACAAGCATTGCATTGACTGGGATAATGCCTCCTCAATATTACCTTGTAATTCAATTGACAGTAGGAACATCATAGAATCTAGTCTCATTAAACATACAGAAGCATTCAACATGAATTTGAGTAATGGCATGTACAAACGGGACAATTTTGTAATTAAGAAGATTTGTAACCAGGTGAGAAGGTTAGGTCACCTTACCCTCTGACCTGACTACCGACCGTTGCGGTGCTATTTAAAGATTAGTAGGGTCATTAACTAATACCTGACCATTGTGGACCTGATCTCACCCTCCTCTGTATATATACACCATGTTTTGTACTTCTCCTTACTCTGTACCCAAGAAGATGTGAATTACACGAGAGCGCTTGGGAACTTCGTGTTTTCTTCATTCCTTGTGGTTATCAGCATATACCTAGATCACGCACACCTACAGTGATTTACTTGCATATATATATACAGTATATATATATATATATATATATATATATATATATATATATATATATATATATATATATATATATATATATATATATATATATATATATGTGTGTGTGTTGTGAGTATATAAAAATTAATCTGTTGTTTCTTGCATTTGTTTTATCGGTGTGGTAGCCTTAGTGGTAACAGCGCTCGCCTTCTGTCGCTGGTTTCCGCCTGGAGAACCCCCAGTCTACCATTTGGGAGGTGAAAGCACTTGAATTTACTGTTGGCAATATTGCCCCTTGTGTACCGGAGACATAATAATCAGTATGTATCCCCATTACCCCCATGCACATATTTTATTCACACACATAAGTAATGTAACTTGCACTTGTAATATTTGTTTCATCTTTGTTCTTTTTATTTGCTCTGAAATTTGTTGTACCACACACTTACTTTATTATGCAACTGTTCTACAGTACTTTTAATAACAATGCAGTTTCCTTTTCAGTGTGGTTTTATCAACACACACACACACATATATATATATATATATATATATATATATATATATATATATATATATATATATATATATATATATATATATATATATATACACAGTACCTCACTTGTCGGGAATCGAATCCTGGACCTCTTTGGTGAACAGGGATCGCTACCACAGCGCCACATTGACAACAAAAACAATCCTTGGCTTTGTTAGATTCAACACAAAACCTGTTCAGCGCCGTGAACCTCTATTGGGGATTACCCGTGCCAACTATGTGGTCGGAGTAGAATTTTACCGAATCCAGCTAGGACCATATAAGTACCAAATGTACGAACACGCGCACACACACATGCACACACACACACCAGGGACAGGTCAATGACTCACATCAGGACCTGGGGGCGAAAATATTATAATAATAATAATAATAATAATAATAATAATAATAATATTAATAATAATAATAATTATTATAATTATAATTATAGTTGTAATTATAATTATAATAATATTTATAATTATAATTATAATTATAATTATAATAATAATTAATAATTAATAAGAAGAAGAGGAAGAAGAAGAAGAAGAAGAAGAAATTTAAAAAAAAGGTCAATAGTGAGAACCGATAAATGTATGTTGTGTTGTCAAAGAGAAACAATTGAAACCCTGCAATTGTGTGTAAATAAAGCAGAAAGTCAGATCAGCAACCTGGGATTTGGTCACATTTTTGTAATGTCATATGGTAGCAGGGTCTACCATTATACAATAGATTATGCTTCCAGTCTATTGTAATTGTGTAATAGTCTCCTGATACTATTGTTGCTGCCGGTATTGGTAATGTTCTTGTCTATTTCATTATCTACCTATGTATTTACAGGATCATGTGTCGTGAGCTTTGCTTGCTGCTACTGATGCTATCGTTGATGGTGGTGGAGGCGGTGGTGGAGGATGAGTCAGACGCGGAAGCATCCTCCGGATCTACACTACCGGTAGGACGCTACTGGTCTTACAACATAGTCCTCATACGTAGTCAAGGGGAGCACCAAAATTTTCCCGCTGGGAGCCTATACATAAGAACATAAGAATGGAAGAAACTGCAGTGGGCCTATTGGCCCATACTGGGCAGTCCCATTTACGCCCAACCTCTATTGCTCATATATCCTCCCCACCTATGTTTGAAGCTATCCAGCGTATTCGAGTTAATGATGATATTTGGTAACTTGTTTCCATTCATCCACTACTCTATTTCCAAACCAATGTTTACCTATCTCGCTCGTAAATCTAAATTTGTCTAATTTAAAATTATTACGAGCTCGCTCCTGTTTGGATAGTTTGAGTACCTTTGTTATGTCCCTTTGTTTAGCCCTGACTCCCATTTATACACCTTTATCATATCGTTCCTCACTCTACCTCTCTCGAGGAGTGCAAATTAAGATGCGTTAACCTCTGTACTCAAGGTTCCTAATGCTGATTAGTCTTGTCATTCTCCTCTGATTTCTTTCTAGGATTGTATATCCATTCTGTAATACAGTGACCAGAATTGAACTGCGTAATCCAAGTGAGGTCTCACAAGCGCAAGATATAGTCTAGGATAACCTCTGACTTGTAACTAACACTCTTTTATATGAACCCAAGTACTTTATTAGCCTTGTTTCGAGCAAATACATTGTTTATTTGGCTTAAGGTTCTTACTTATCATTACTCCTAAATCTTTCTCAAATTCGATTTATCTATAACATCGTTGTTCATATGATATCTGGTTTCTCTGTTTACATCTCCTAGCTCTAGTATTTTACATTTGTCCACATTGAATTTCATCTGTCATTTTTCAGACCATTCAAAAAATTTGTTTCTGTAGTTTTGCGGAGTCCTCGTCAGATTTAATTATACGCCCTATTTTAGTGTCATCAGCAAATTTACTTATGTTGCTGTCTCCGCCGATATCTATGTCGTTTATTTATATAATTAATAATAATGGTCCAAGTATTAAGCCTTGTGTACCCCACTAGTGACGTTATCTAATCGGATTTAGTGCCGTGAATGCTCACTTGCTGTTTCCTATTCTGTAACCACACAATAATCCATTTTAGAATATCTCCTCCAATGCCATGAGACTCCACTTTTCTTATAAGTCTTTCGTGTGGGACTCTGTTGAAGGCTTTACTAAAGTCAAGATTTACCACATCATAGTCGTGCCCCTCGTCTACTGATTCGAAAACAGCTGAAAAGAATGCTAACCCCCTACGCCCAGGGCTAGGGTGAATCTGACCGTAACCCCCACACAGGATAAAACGGTGAAAATCAATTTTTCCAAAATTAAATTTTAACCTTTATAAATGATAAAACAATGAAAAAGACGCAAGAAAAACTATATATTGTCCCTCAGTGACGAGTGAAATAAGGAGAGAGGTGGGGTTTCTTACAGGGAGCAGTTCGAGGTCATTACGCATCAGGGGTCCCTTTCCCGTTTCCTTTGTGTCCGAGAAGGGCAAAAATACATATTTTTACTGATAAAAATACTTATTTCCTAGAAATAATTCATTAAGAATTTATTTTATTTGCATTACTTTTCATAAAGACTGTTCGGCGACACACACCCGGGCGGCACTTTTGGGTCTGCTCATCACCCATATCTGCAGCTACTGGAGACGTTAATCCATCCCTTTGTATCGGCGTTTTTGCTTTTTGTTTAACTGTTACTTATAAAGTTTAAGTATGTTTGGTGTGTATTTAAAGCATACTATATTTGAGTATGTGAAAGTACAGTAATATTATAATGGTACACAAACTATTTAATATATATATATATATATATATATATATATATATATATATATATATATATATATATATATATATATATATATATATATATATATATATATATATATATATATATATATATATATAGTGAGTCACTGTGCAATATGTATTTTTTGTGGGGGCACGGGGGCGTAACCATGGGCAGCTCCCTGGCGGCATACCTGAATACGCCATCGCCAATGCCAGGTGTGAACAGAGACTAACGTCAGATCCTTACACTTAGCTGCACGCTTTGTGGTGTTAGCATAGACGTAAAACCTCCTTTGCCCCTTACGACCACCTGGACCAGTCTGTAGGAAGTCCAAGTTGTGATGAACAACCCAGTCACGTGTAAGCAGTCTGTCAGGTAGTCCTGCTTGGCTGTGACGTCGTGGTAATAGCTGCCACGATGGTTCCATATTTCTCCAGGTGTTGCATTATCACTTGCTTCTGAAAAACCATGAGAGAGGGTTTTCCCGGTTTTTACTAGGTACAAGTAGTGGTCCATAAGTTTCTTCACAACAGCGCCAGAGAAACAATGTGGGTCATCCTTGGGTATGTCTACGTCACTTGCTGTGTAAACTACGAGATCTAAGACATACCCAGTATTGCAGTCACACAGCACAAAGAACTTGATTCCAAAGCACCAGACTCGTCCACCACTACGTTTTGAAAGGGTCCAAAGAACTTCGTAAGACGTTCCTTCAGCATCGTAAAATTTCTGTTATTTCCCAAAGTGTCACCAGCCACAGGAATGTTGTTATCTACACGGTGTAGATAACGTAGGATGGAGGCAAACCGGTCTCTGGACATGAATTTTGCAAACAATGGAGTTGCTGTGATGTCATCAGGAGATATCCAATACTCCTGAAGTACATGTTTTTTCACATGTGCCATCAACATCAGTAATGCAAAAAACACTTACAGTTCGGCAATACCGACATCACTCCATCGACGCATGCGTGTCGAGGGGCCAGAGCCTTGGTCAACATCACACGTTTACTGATAAAATTTGTTTGTCTCAGTACACAGTAAGTCCAAAATTGCACCATCAAAGAACACACAAAAATAATCTATCTCACGTGAATCCTCTGAAGAAGGAAATTCAGGAGTAATTCCACCTGATGATCTTCTGAATTCAGGGATATCAGACTGAAAATTACTGCCATCAGACAAACAAAGGCATCTATTGCCCCTTGTCTGAGTCGTGAGCGCCGCAGGGCGGGGATACGCCGTTCTGGCTGGGCCTCACTGCCCGCGTCGTCCTCTTCCTCACTGGTTGACACAACATCGTCTAACTGAAATGCCAATTGGGATCAACGAACGCCTCATGACGCTCTGAGTCCCACTGAATCACTCACGTCATGCATTTTTCATCAGTGCATACGCCCCAACACTGGATGTAGAGGATGACACCAAGGAGGCTTTTTACTCCGAACTCGACAGTGCTAACCTCTATCTCCAGAGAAGATAAAGTTTTCCTCCTTGGTGACTTCAATCCCAGAGTTGGCAGAGATTCTGACATTTGGCAGGGAAGCATAGGGAGAAATGGACTAGGCAAGTGTAATTCCAACGGCCTACTCCTCCTCAGCAAGTGTGCTGCACACAACCTCACTATCACCAATACCTTACTTAGGCAGGCCAACAAGTTCAAGGGTTTGTGGCAACACCCATGATCCAAACACTGGAATCTCATTGGCTCCATCATTGTCAGAGAAAGAGATCGCCGAGATGTCCTCCTCACCCGTGCCATGCGTGGGTCAGACCAATGTGACATTAATCATAGTTTTGTCAGATCCAAGCTCTCACTCCACGTCCCTCCAAAACGGCGAAGGCAGCAATCCTCCAGAAGAGGTTTTAACAACAAGTGTCTGGACTCTGGATGATCCAGCGGTAGCACATGCTATCAGAGTGCAGCTTGAACATGGGCTGATAAACAACCCGACAACAAACAACCCAAATCCCAGTGTGTGTGTATAAACATAAATCACAATAATTACCTATGAGTGACTTAAGTCAAACCCAGGCAGGCAGGAAGCTCATTCATTGTAACCACGATGGACTAAAGCTATCCACCTTAACTACACTCTTGTAGCTCAGGTTTCCTACGCACTCACTGTAAGCCCAAGGACTAGTCTAGGCGGATTTTGAGATGCAGGCAACACAGGCGACACAGCGCAGGGCAGTGCAGAAACCTGTATCTTGGTAATTCAAATTAGAGTGCACACATTAAATCTAGGTAATTCAAATTAGAGTGCGCACATTGAATCTAGGTAATTCAAATTAGAGTGCGCACATTGGGACGCAGTGCAGCACTGAGCAGACGCATGCGTAGTGATTGGAACACAGTTTTCTGCTTGACACGTGCACGTGCCAGGTGATTCAAGGCATAAAATCATTGATTTTTTATATGGCGGAGGAATTTATAGAGGCTGTTCTGAGTCAAAGTGTACTTTATGACTAGCCATCGTGACTACATGGTATATGGGATAGTATAGCTGAAACTCTCAAGTTAGAAGACAGTGAGTGTACAATATTGCTAACCGAAGCATACATTTAAAATCAATACTAAAATAAATATTTATCATGAAGGTACTGTAATTTACTTCATTATTCAATACATGACTTGTTCAATATGCACACCACACTTGTACTGTGCTGTGCCGTGCTGCCCTGCGTCTCAATGTGTGCCGAGCAGTCCGCCCACACTCGGGTTCCAAACTGCTTTTTGAATCGAGTTCCCAGTAGGGTTAAGGCCGAGATAAGAAAAGAGGAATAATGAACTGAAGGTAGCAAGGGAGGCGAAGTCAAACCCCGAGGGATTCTTTCAAATGTATGAAACTAAAACGCGAGAAAAGATTGGACCAATACAGTCACATACCGGCGAGCTAACTGATAACAACGGAGAAATGAGCAATAATCTGAATAAATATTTTTCCAACAGTTTTCACCACCGAAAATTTAAACATGATACCCGAGGCACCGACTGTATACAGAGATAGTGAAGAAAATAGATTAAGCGAGATAGTAGATTAGTACCGACGTTAGTAAGCAAATAGACAAGATAAAGCCTAATAAGTCGCCAGATCCCGATGAGATATTTGCCAGAGTATTAAAGGAATGTAAGGAAAAGCTTAGTATGCCCTTAGGAAATTTGTTTAACCTGTCCTTAAAAACGGGTGTAGTA